GTCTTGTTGGAAGACACTCAACTGGGTCACTCAATTTTCAAGTGGGACCTCCAAAACTGTGAGCCAAAATAAATCTCTCTCCTTTATAAGTTAGTTCTCTCCAGTATTGTGTTATATAGTAACAAGAAGTTGACTAATATATCAACCCAGGTCCTATAGCTTATACTGTAAAAGTAGCAAGAAAAAAAAAAGTACTGGGAAATATATGGTTAGCAAAGGCTGACTGTGGTCAGCTTCCCTCACAGGGCCTGCTCTATGCCTGGAGATGACAGTTATTAACATGAAATGGCTGCAGTGCTTACTATACCCTCCCCTTCTCTAAGCAGATAGCTACCTACAGGCTCTAAATACTTCATGTGACACTCCCTAGGATAAAATCCATGCAAGATCAAGGTTAATGATATAGCACTGTCCTCACAAAGACATTGTGCTTGTGGGTAGCAGGTCTTGGAACTCCACACAAATATATGCAATTGTGCCAGATTCCTTCTATCAGCCTCAGATAGGAAGCCCAACTTTTTCTAATTTCATCCAACCCGTTTCTTCACTCAGCACATACCTTTCTGCTCTGGAGCATCCACTCCTACACTCTCGCCTCTACCTTAACCTACCTTTCTTTGCATGCAGAAGGATTCTCTTATTTTATTATTCTTATTCTCTTATTTTATTATTCTTATTCTCTTATTTCCAGGGACATTTTTTTTCTCCTAAAAAATGTACAGTGAAGCTATTTTTTTTTTTATGAAACAACAAAAATCTTTCTCAACCTAGATACATCTAATACTATTCCTCCAAGGTCTAAAGTGGAAAATTATTTAAATATCGGTTATCAGTGAATTTCTACTCAGCGTCCTTAAACCAAAGTCTTGACTTATTTACCATAAGAAGTGATATTCCTTTGTCTCAGATAAAAGATGAAGTTAAGAGAAAAAGAAATGAGCCAGTTATCTAACAAGGGTTTTTTGGGGTTTTTTTAGTCTTGAGGGTAGATGAAAATACTGTCTGAAGAAGAAGGAACTATAGTCTGAAGCTCTGCAGAGCTGGTTTCTGAGCTCTGCTCTTCGCTTTATGGCTGACAGGAGACATGGAAGTGTCACCAGCCCAGGACACATAGCTGTTAATGTTCCTCTGGGAACCAGGAGCTTGTGCATGAAATCCACTCTTCAGTTATACGTATTATATGGTTTTCAAAATGTTTCGCTGAAATCTCATTTCGGTACTTTGTGATCAGTGCCCTGGGAATTGGGGATGGGCAGATGGTCTCACTAGTGAAGAGAGCAATTTGGAGTTCAGGTTGAAGAAAAATGCGACATTCCCCAGAAACCCCATTTCTTGGCAGGCAGTGGTGCTAAAGAAACAAGGTTTCTGATGCCAGTTATTTCACGACTATCATGGGGGAGGGTTCCTGCCCAAAATGCCTGTCGTCTCCTCCAACCCATTCCTCATGATGTGTCTTACCTGAGTCAACAATTCCTACAAAAGAGTTACTATTCAACTTAAATTTTATGTACCTCCTTAATTCCCCTGATGCAGTTTTTACATCTTTAAACCCATAAGTAAGTTGAAATGATCTTCTGTATTTGTTCCTATTATGTGTATGCCTTGACTTAATTTTGCTTACTACTTACAAGCCTGTGTACCTCATCTTTCTCATCTCTAAGCTGGGAATAAAAATATGGGTGCCTGTATCAGTGGTTTGCTGGGATGATGAAATGATTTAATAAATGTGAGGTTAATGTGTTGGTATATATAAGGCATGTAGCAAATGTTTCAAAAATTTAACAATTAGGATGATAATGTTTGATGTTATCGTAGTAACCTAATATAGTCTTGGGAAATATTTTGGAGTGTATAGGTAAAAATAATTACCAACTACCTTGAAACATGGGTGACTTGAAAACCATAAATTTTCTAGGCCCCAGAATCCTCTAAGAGTTGTTCTGTCAACACTGGCTTCATCCAGAGGCTCTGGATTATCTCCTGCGCCCAGGACTAGGTCATGATCTTCACATCTCACTTGACTGTTGCACAAAAGCACTCATAAAGTTAAATTGGAGAAATCAAGAGACAGTGAATCCAGAAAGAAAGGAAATTTCCATTAGATTTAACAACAATTTGTTTTGGAATAATGGTTATTTCTCCTTCCATGGATGTTTGTGAATTATCTAAATTCAAGATTATGGAAAATTACAAGGCTCTTAATTGCTTGATGACAACACTAGTTGTGCAAATCAAGAAGGCAAGAAACTGCCTGAATTTTTGTTAAAGACAGGTTGCTCATAACCATGATTATCAGTCATCACAAACGTGTTATTTTTGCTTGATATTATTAAGTTTTGGTGATTTTTCCTACATTATTCTGTGTTACATGTTATCCATCCAAAAATGCTGTAAACTTTTAGAAGAAATGCATTAACTTTTCTCTTGTGTCCTTTCATATGACTTGACAGGCTAGATTACAGATTTTAAGGCCCCACCCCAGGCTTTCAGACTCAGAAGCTCTGCTCAGAAATATGCATTTTAAACAAGGCCTTTACATTGCTCTAAAGTAGGAATTCCTCGGGTTTTATATTTCATAACACTGCCACATAGGAATATATAGTTGCTATTAAACTAGGGTGTTATTGGTCAGCTTTCTCATCACTGGAACCAAACATCTGACATATGTGGCTTTAAGAAGGAGAGGTTTGATTTGGCTCCTGGTTTCAGAGGTTTCACTCCGTGGTCTCCAAGCAGAATCCTCATGGCAGAAGGTATGACAGAGCAAAGCTGCTCACGTCAGCGGGTGTGGAGTGAGTAGGGCTGGACTCCTTCTCATCTCCAACATAATACAGCTTCAGGAAAGAGATATAGTCTGCCCATGAACAAAGAATAACTCTATTAGATGAAGGAACCAAATGTAGGAACAAAAATAAAGGTTTATGCAGCTAAAAAATATGACCTGGACCCCATGTAAAAAACAAAGACTAATTTGGCGTGGGCTGCTTTTCTATTATGAAAGTTAACTACCTTGTAAAATGGCATTCTCCCCAGGTTACGTTTTATTTGCTTGTAGGACAATTAAATCCTAATTCTAGCGTCTAGGTTGTGAAAAAGTATAGGAAAATTAACTTGTTCATTATAATTTTTTTAAATTTTTAAGTCATCATACAAAAAAAAGACTTTGGAAAGAGTGAAAAGGGTGGACAACTCTATGAAATTATGAAACGGATGCACAATGTATTGACCCTGACAGAAACAAAATAAAACTGAGTAAAGGAAGGAGCTAGAGAAGCAAGTCTTGGGGAGGGATCATGGACATGAAGCGAATGACCGGATGCTCAGCTGGCGCCCCTACCTAAAGATGGCAACAGTCTCTGACCTCTAGGTCTTATGAACTCTCCATCTTCAGGTCCCCCGGCAATACCAGGAGGCTTGTGAGAGCCCCAAGGCTGGAGCAGAGTGCAGCTGAAGTTGGATAAGAGAGAAGAGAGGAGGTGGGATCCAGGGATGTCCATCAAAAAGCTGCAGGTACTTCCAGAACCACCACTTTCTGCTTAAGAGATGTTTACTCTGGCTTCTACAGCAAGGTGAACAAAGGGCAAATAACATAAATCTGATGTTACCAGAGGTGTTTTGATGACATGCAGACTGTAAATGTTGTTGAGCATGAATATCTTTGAACGGTGGGTAAAATTTGAAGAGCATTAAGATTATGGTGTGGAATGGGTGCTAGAGGACACCACCAGCCTCAGCTACCTACCCTGCCTTCTTGCATCATAGCATGAGTCATATCAGCACTTCCTATGAATGTGGTGAGAGGTGTCCCCACACAGCACTGTATGTTGGAAGATGCTGAGCTGCCAAGCTTCTCACCACTGCGTTAAGAATCCAAGAGGCAAGGAGCAATTTAGGACAATGGCAGTTTCAGTGTTTTAACCTGGCTATTCTGCTTACAGTTTTAATGTGCACTGATTAAGTCAGGCCAGCAGATGGCAGCAATCATCTTGTAAGAATGAAAAATAATTTAGATTTAGTTAAACGCAAAGAGAAAGAAAATACACAATAGAGAAAAATAAAATACAGAGTATGTGCAGAAGCAGACTGCTACAGAATACTTGCTCTTGTTATAGGACTCAGATCACAAATTTCTTACACATCCATTCCTTGGTTCATACATCTTTTTTTTATTTAAAAGGAAAAAGAGAAAAAAAGCAGAAAAAAACAAAACAGTGTAAGGGTACAAGTAATTCAGAACTACAAAAAAAAAAAAAAAAACAGTAAGCTATCACCAGTTAATAGATTACTCGCTATCATCTTAGAAACGGTGTTTCAGGTCACAGGATCGAAGCACACAAAGCGAACATTCAAACATTGTGACTGCAAACAGTTGTGTTCAGTAAACCAATCAAAAATATTAATATGGTCTTCTATGTAACACACCTAAACACCCTTGTTGTTGTATCCTTCAGGGCACTTTTCTTTCCCTCTCTTTATTACAACAAAATTTACACATTTTGGGTTTTATTGCTCCCTTAGATCTTATTACTTTTTTTTGTAAGAGAATAAAATCAAGCATGATAAAACAAAGCTGTCAGTCAAAACCAAGGATAGTCATAGCACATGATGTAAAAACAGAGTACAAGGTTATCAACAATGGTTACCATAATGCCTCTTGCTTCCTTAAGAAGAATTGTCTATCTCTTTAGGTATTATAAAGTTAAACAAAACAGTAGAGAACAAGACCAATAAAACCTAAACTTTGTATATCTTACAGAACCTCAAAAGAGGATAATAGTCAAACCAGAATGGGCATGCATCCTTTTCTAAGCAGCCCTATTCAACTTGTGCAAAAGACCTTGTTTACAGGAGGTGTTAAATTAGTAGCACATGCAGGTTAGGGGACCATAGAAGGAGAGATCGATTTGGGGATGTCTTGGGAGCACAGAAGGTTTTCCTTGATTCTCAACACCCAAACAAGGGTCAGTATACAGGGTACTGAATCCGAGTGCCACCCTGACCTGCTTTCAGTTGCAGTAGTGTTTCTGGTGCTCCCTGCTGCTCTGTATGCATGGAGCATCACAGTCTGGTTCCAGGCTTCAGCATGCCACCCCTGCAGTGCTGCATGTGAGGAGACAGCCTATTAACCTGTGTGTCCTCATCGCTGTTCTCATCTGTGGTTGCTATGGCAACCCTCGAGGCACCTCAGGCTTCTCACTGGCTGATCAGGCTTGGAAAACCATCCTGGAATTGACAGTGCTATATTTGGGGAACATTTAATGAAAGAGAAGCTTGACCTAGTTTTCAGGCTGGGCAGGGAAATGGCAGGGACATGAGGTGTCACTGAATACAAAGGGGTAGCTACCAGCAAGGTGGGAAATCATTAGAGGCCAGAGGGAGGATGAGCAATGACTACATCCTTTTTTATTTCCTCTTATTCAACACACAGCTCCACAGTAAATTAGTGGGCTGGTTCTTCAACATAGCGGTGGGGGTGCTTTAGAAAATACAGAATTTTTATGGTTTAATAAATACATAAATTTAAGGTTATTTCTCTTCTGGAAAAGACAAAAACAAGACCAAATGCACTTCTTACTGAAAAGTGTGAGTAAAACATCACTGACAGTTTAGATCTCAAGTTCACCTGTATTGTTCATACAGACTTCCAGTTTTTAAAGGCTGTTGTGGCAGGCAATTCTCAACTGTCCCCCAGAGACCCCTGCCCCAGTATCCTCCCTCCCCATCAGCACACACTGATGGCCTGGACATACTGATTCGCTTATAATGATCAGAATGCAGCAGAAGTGACAGGATGTCAAAAAGACTGGGTTTTGGGCGTCCCATAAGGACTTGAAGACAGGCAGGAAGTTAAGAATAGGCACAGCTAGTGTGTTGGCTACTTTTCTGACATTCCTGGGACAAAATATCCAACACAAAATTAAGAAGTGAAAGTTTATTGTGGAGCTTTCAGTCCATAATCAGCTGGCCCCAAGGTACAAGTGACATGGCTAGGAACAACTGTTCAAGGTGACAGAAGACAGAAAAGGCAGCAATAACAAAAACAGGGAACAAATCTGTTTTCCTCCCTTATATTAAGCAGGCTACTCGTCCTACAGCAGGTGTAGCACACACCTTGTCTCCATGCCCTCCTCTGCACAGCCACTTAGTTAAACTTCTAAACTTCTCATATTGACAAAATGTATCAACCATTACACCTGGCAAAAAGGAAGGCTGCAAGCAGCCTCAAGAGATAGCCCGGGGTGCACATTCTGCCCTGGTTTGCACCTGGGCACTGCTGAAGCCCCATCTAGAAGCTTCATAACCACTTCCTAATAAACCCAGAGCAAGAGGACTCAGACGAGCCAGCCCAGAACCCTGAGCCATAGAGCCTGTCAGAAAGTAAAAGTGTGTTCTTCAAGCCACTACACCTTGTGGTGGTGTGTTGGGAGGCTGTTAACAGCAATACTACACAGATATGTTCCTTCTCTTGTCTGCATGATTGGAAATGCTGTTATGAATGTGTGCTGCTAATCAACAGCTATTGGTTTGATTCCAAGGCTACCATTCCTCTCCATCCTAAGTTTCTTCATCTATAAAAATGTTTAAGCATCAGATGAATTAATACAGTTACTTCTTAATATCTGTGGCAGATAATATCTCCAATACCAGGTAATATCTCCTTCTAATACCAAAATCTATGGATGCTCAAGTTCTTTTTATAAAATGGCATAATACTTATATATTACACACATACATCCTTCCATACACTTTATCTCTAGATGACTTAATATATTTAATACAATGTAACTGCTAAGAAAACAGTTACACTGTTTAGGGACTAATGACAAGCAAAACTCTTCACATGTTCAGTGCATCTACTTTTGTTTGAAACCATGGATATAGAACCACCCACTGATTCAGAGGTGTGCGTATAATTTCTAAGATCTTAGATCATATCCAGCATATAGAATAGAATGCAAATTATTCAATACAAATTATCTATGTTTCTATGCAACTTTCATCTAAATTTGTAGCAACAATTTATCTTCAATGACTGACTCCATTCTCCCAAAATTAGCAAAAAACTATAGCAATCACAGATAAATTCTAGAACTGTACAGAAGTAACATAAATGGCTTGCAAAGATACTTGATTTCCCACATCTCTATAATTCTGAATCCTGTCTTAAATCTTCAGCTACATCTAAGTTCTACAGCCTATGTCCATGGGAGAAGGACCAAACGTGAGTAGCCAGAAGAGCAAAGCAGCATCGGCCAAAGAGAGATTTTGTGAACAGATCTTTTATTCTATACTAGGGATTGATCCTAGAGCCTTTGCACTGACCTATATTCGCAGACCCATTCCCAAGCTTGTTGAGACAGGATCTCACTGAGTTAAATTGCCCGGGAAGGACTTGAACTTTTCATCGTCCTGTCTCAGCCTCCTAGAATCCTATCATTATAAATACAAGCCACCATGCCAAGCTAAACTACAATTTTTAGGAACATATAAACACAAATACATTTGTGTTGGGTTTGGAGTGAAAGTAAGTTAGCTATGAGGCCACAAAGACAGCCTATTACTGTTCCTGTAGCATGTGGAGCGGTATGCCTTGTGTTCAGTATGCTGCTCACTTTGGAGCCTGTGGTTCATGTGGAAATCACAAGGAAATCAGATGTGTGAGATGAGTTCAGAGAAGGAAAAGCACTTGCACTCAGTTGTCAATGAGACCTTCTCCAGCATGCCAGTGCCATGCAGTTAAAACTGACATCAACACAAGACATCACAGTGGCTGCATCTGCTCAGTCTTGATCTCATTGGTCTCACCATAAGGTGTATCATCACTGAGGAAATTCAGGGATGTAATGAAGGAATTATTTCCTTGCAGCCTGATAAATCCTAAAATATCATGTGTCACATGATGTCTTAGTTACTTTTTACTTGTTGCTGAGACAAAATACCTGTGACTAAAGTTAGGAAAGGAAAAGTTTATTTCTTACAATTTTTGGAGGTTTTTGTCCATACTCAGTTGGCTCCAAGGCAGGATGGCATGGCTGGGCCACAGTTCATGGCAGCTGCAAACAGCAAGGCAGAAGCCATCAAGAGAGCGAGACACACCTTCTTCCTGCCATTATATCACATCCTGGCTCCACCCCTATGTGGGTGTAGCACTGACATCATCAATCCAAGCACTATACAATGAACCAATCACAGATGCATCATGTAAATGCATGAGGCCTGGAGGCCATGGACATAAACCATGACACATGATATTTGGCAATTGTGGGCCACAGATTCGGGTGTTCATCATTGCCACTGGTATTGCTGTACTGCAAACATTTATCAAAGGTAAGTACTATTAGTGTCATTTTTCAGGGAATAAAACTAAAATACAGTGAAGTCATGCCACTTTCCCAGCCACACACGGGTAGTTCAGAAAACAGCTAGGACAAAACTCAACAGTCTGTCAATGGAACCTGCATTCTTATTCCCTAGAGGAGACAGCTTCTCTCTGGGATATTTTTCTGTGGTTGAGTCTCATCACAACTGGAAGCTCATTTCTGCTACATAGTAGAAAATTAATCTCCATCAAGAAATCCTGTGTCGCCCACTTTTTCCTACAAGCACATCTTAGTTTCTGAGGTAACTTCAATATTGCTTTTGGGAGTCTGTCCATGACCATCGGACCGCATGAGCTGTTTCTGCTTTGACCCTATAAATCACATTCAGGCTTGACTTCCCCACAAGAACCCTTGGGTTTGAGAAACTCTAGTCAACTCCACGGAGTAGTGTTGGGAAGACTCTGTGAGACCATCAACTTAAAGGTGACCACTCAGGTTCCCCCTAGGTCTGCCCTCCCCCAGATCTCAAAGGGATAAAGCTCAAGGGGAAACGGCCCTTCTCCAAGGTTTTACTTGAGACAATCCAGCCTCCTACCTAGTTCAAAGATGTTTCTGAAAGCCTTTTCAGAGTGAATAGTTCTTTCTGATGGTCATGGGGACTGTGAAAATACTTTGAAAGCAATGATTTGCTTGAAGAGAAACAAGAAAATGATGGGAGGATGAGAAAATGGAGAACAAGGAAAAGAAAAGGGTGGCTAACAAACCATTAAACATTGTGGTGGGGATGCATGGCGTCACCAGCCCCATCACCATCAACAGGCCCTGCTGTCACTGCCATTTAACCAGTTGCCTTGTCTGTGCTGGCACTGTCATTGGGTTTAAACACATCGTTTCTAATCACATGCTCAGAGAGCAACCATGGGCATCCGAAAGGCAGGACAGTTTCCCAAACAGGAACTTCCAGCTCCCAATAGTTGCCTTCCATCTCACATCACTTATTCAGGTTGCTGCCGGGCCCTGCCGGGCAACCCAGGTGCCGTCCCTTTGTATGTTCAGTATGTCTATCACCTGCACATAGCTCTGATGCATTTCTGCCCAAGAATGGACTCCAAACAAGAGCTATCAGAATTCACTGAAGCAGACGGAGTCCAACACCGTAGGTCTGGTCACGCTGACTGTCAGAATTGTTCCTTTCCCTACAGGCTGGTGGTAACTTAATTTTGCCCCTTCCCCTTGATGGTGTCTCCAACAAACAGGAGTGATTTATAGATGACTCTTCTCAGTCACCCCTCCCAAATATCCAAAACAAAATGATCACAAAGATCCCCAGCTGCTTTTCTGCCTGACCTTTTATCCTATAGTTTTGAAAAAAGAAAAAAGAGAATCTGATAAAGTGTTTTCTGTTTTCTAAATGAGATTATTTATTTAGGCACTGACAGCCATTAATGCATCATCATAAATTAATTTACCAGATTAATCAATCAATTTAGTACAATAATCAGATTAAGCAGCTACAGAAGAGTCTGCTCCAATTTGATTAATTGGATGGCTTGAAAGATGAGATTAGATCAGATTAATCCATCGCTTTTTACATGCATCCACAGAACAGAAAATGAAAACCCTCACGGGGTACCAGAGCTAAGTTTAGTATGTTGGGGGATACAGGGCTCAGCAATTATGCTATTGGACAAGCTGTATCAATTTCTGTATTGTGTACTATGTCTTCTGTAAGAAATCATGATGGCTTTACGGTTTAAAACAACACAAATCTACATTTCTGGAGGTCAGAAGTCCAACATGAGTTTTATGGGGGCTGAACCATAAGGCTTCTGCAGAGGTGTGTTCCTTCTAGCAGTTCCAGGGGGAAAGTCCAGTGCTTGTTTTTTTCCCCAGCTTCTAGAGGCTGCTCTCTCTTAGTTGGTGGCATCATCACTCCATTCTGTTCTGTCATCAGTCATGCCTCTCACTCTAACTCTCTCACCTTCCTCCTCTATGTATGGGGATACTCATCATCATGTGTCAAAGAATTCAAATAAAGCCCCCCATCTCAAGATCCGCAGCTTAAGGTGCTCTGAACAATATCTTTTGCCATGGAAAGGAACACTCAGGTTCTAGGATTAGGTCATAAACCTCTTTATCAGGCCATGATCTGTCATTGATGGATTTCAATGCTGTAAAGGCATTGCCTGTTGTTTTCCTGTGACCTGAATTGACAAGGACACTGACAGGCCTCATCTGACACGCACCTTTGGCTCCTAAAACTCCTCCTAAAACTTCACAGCTCCTAAAACTCTAAAGTTAAGGCAATCCTTCTGAAGTAAAGCTTGGCTTCCAGAAAATAGCTTGTGAGGATCAACATGATACCTCTATTTGAGTTGGTTCATCAAGTTCCCTATGACTAAGAGGTACTTTCATGTTGGAAGAAAGTCTGGTGATAATTTTGAGTTCACAGCTAAGATAGCTCCAGATTTCACAAGAGACAAAAAAAATCAACTTTCAATAACTATTTTTACCCCAGAATGTGTTAGCTAGGGAAAAGGTCTCAAAACTCAGACTCAGCTACCTTGAAGTGTACTTAGGAGGTCCTATGTTTTGAAACTAAAGATTAAAAGCCTGTCAGGGTAAAAGTAAAACCTGATTGGTATATGTTATGTCCTAAGTTGGTAGGCAGTGACATGGTAGTTACAAGTTGTCTGGCTCTTCAAAGTTGTGTGGGCTGCCATGACAAACATATCACAGATTGAGTGGCTTTGAATGATGGAAATTCGTTTTCCTTCCATTCTAGAGATCAGAAATATGAAATTGAGGTGTCAGCAGGGTTGGCCTCTTCTGAGGCCTCTTTCAGGCTCACAGGGGCCATCTTTAGCTTATGTCCTCACTGCTTTCCCCCTGTTTTGCCTGTCCTGGTCTCATCTTGTACTCAGAACGCCAGTCATCTGGGATCTGTACGCACTCTGGTGAACTCATTTTACTGCAGTTTCTACTTTACACACTTTACCTTTAAATATGGCCACACCCTGAGGTCCTGGAATTTAAGGGCTCAACCTATGAATTGTGACAAATAGAATTCCTTCCCTAAGAGGAATGTCTAAGACTTAGCAAAGCAAGAGGAGACAACAGAGGAGAGGTGATTTACCAAAGGAAGGACTCAAGATGGTCTATAACTTTGGCTAAAGAAGAGTTTAAGTTCCCCGTAGTGTAAGAGAAAGCATGATACACACAAAAGCTAGACAGTAAGGAGGCTTCAGGACTGCTTTGAATGATTTATTAGTAAAAGTTTGGTTTCTATACACGTTTCCTACTTTACCTCCTTAGAGACAGAAAACTTGGACAGATAAGAGCTTTGTTCTGAAACCTTACTACCATAATTTCTTCATCTATAAGAAGAGAAGCTATCCTAAATGATTCTAAAATTCTATTATTTAGTGGAATCAGAAACTCAAACCTATTTGTGGTTTAAAACTACAGAGACAAAATCACTTCATTTATTCTTCCCAAGGAAAGATTAAATTTAAATTGTGGCTGCAAAATAGCCAAATACTCAATAAGTATGAATATTAGCAAAAAATAATCAGCAAAATAATCAACTAATATACAATTGACATACTGTTTCTCCTTTATTATTATCAACACCAATCACTTCTTTAAAGCAATTATTGCTAAATTTTATTTTCCAGGTATGCTGGATGGATTAAACAACAGGAATTTGTTTTGCCATAGTTTTAGAACTCAAGGTAGAGACAAGGTTGGTTCTTCCTGAAGACATGGAAAAGGAATCAAGTCCAAGCTTCCCTGTCTCCCTGCTTGTAGCCTGAGTCTGGTCCTCCTATTGCTTTCTCCCTATGTGTCAGGGCATGTACCTGTCCATATTTTAAGAAACACAAGCCATGTTGGGTTAAGGGCCCATCCTAAAAATGATATCCTCAAGGATTCTATATCCATCTGTCACTTTCTTGAGTACTAAATTTTGGGACCTCAACATATGAATTTAGAGAACATAACTCAATCCTTATCATGTCTACCGGTGAGTTAAAAAATCAGTGAGCAATGGGCATATTTCCAGAAGAACTGAAAACATCATATCACAGTGATATATGTGCACCCATGTTTATAGCAGCACAATTTGTAATAGCCAGATCTTGGAAACAACGTAAATGCCCATAAACTGAGAAACAGATTAAAAAGATGTGGTACTTTTATGCAATGGAGTATTACTCAGCTATAAAGAAGAATCACATTGAGATATTTATAAGTAAAAGGATGCAACTTGAGACCATACTCATAAGTGAAATAAATCAAACTCACATGTAAATACCATATTGTCTCTCTAGTTTAAGAAATGGTAAGAGTACATAAGATGCAAAATCCTCAATAAATATGGTGAAAGGGTAAGAATCTGCTCAAAGGGAGAAAAATAATATCTCAGGGAAAAGGAGAAAAAAAGGAATGGAAAAGAAAAAGTATCTAATTTGTATAAACATACTTTAGCTAAGATGATTGTGCTACAAATTCTATCAGTTCTTGGAACAAAACAGTTAACATTCATAGGATTGGAACAATTTTACATGCTTGTGTCTGGTATCTGAGGAATGCTTCTGAAGATTACTATGTAAAATAACAACCTTAGTTATGTGCCTACCACTTTGTTTTGAAGGCCTATGTCAACATTGTTTTGACTCTTTGCTATTGACTTTTATTTATCTTTTTTGTTTCTTGCTTTTTTTACTAAAATGTTTTATTTTGTTTTGCTTTTCCCTCCAATGCAGAAAAGATAGGTGCACATGTAGAGGCTTATACATGCCTAGAACTTCTCCTAAACAATTTGTGAGAATTGATTATATTATGTGTGATGAAATGAACAGCTACTTTGAAGAAAAAGAGACAACAATCCACTGCTGATTTCTTATCATTCTGTGAAATCCAGTAATGATTTAATTCTTTGCTTAGAGTGTATTTAATCTATTTTGTATTATTTAATTTCAACATACATGAAGGTATGGACAGCTATTTTGAAGAGAACAAGAGATATTATGGTAGCCATTTTTGATTTTCCTGTTGTCTGGTTTTGAAGGCTGTCATGCCTCCATTCTTCTGTTTTGATCAGTTTTATACTACTTTGTTTTGTATGAGTTCATTGTATATGAAGACATAGACAACTATTTAGGAGAAACAAGAGACCTTGTGGTAGCCACTATCACTCTCCTGTTGTCTTGCTTCGAAATCTGTGTCACTCACACTGTATTGTTCTGATCTGCTTTGTTCTGTTTTGATGTTTTGTTTTACCCTCTTTTAAAAAATCAGTGAGCAAATTTAATTCTTTACCTCTTCCTTTTTAAAAGGGAGACTTGGGCTTAATTAGATGTATCAATATTTTCTGTAATGATGCTTGCAGTCAATTAGTAAAATGAAAGCATTTTTTAAAACTTTGTAAATCAACTCAAAAAAGATCTCCATTGTGGAATATTACTAAGCTATAAAAAGGATAATCTTGAGGTTTTTATAGGTAAGTGGAAGCAACTTGAGACTATACTCATAAGTGAAATAAATCAGACTGACATTTGTAAATCTCATACTGTCTGCCTAGTGTAAAACTAATACTGAAAGAGTAATAAGATCCAAAATGTACAATAGATATTGTAATAATGAAAGGGAAAGGAAGTGCTCAAAAGGAAGAACTGGGATAGAGGAAAGGAGAAATGGAAGAAAGGAAAAGATTACATGTATGTAAGTATATACATATAACTGTACATATGTGTATGTGTGCAAGATAGATAACTATACTACTAATCTCTGTTAGTTTATCAAAAAGCACAGTTTGTGCTGTCATTGTTTGATTGTTTGATAATTTTCATGCCTAGATCTTGTAACCTGAACAACTACTTCTAAGATAACAATATGCAATATATTAACTAGTGTTGATTTCTTACTTTTTAAAAAAATCTGTATTATTTCTACCCTTTTTCTGTTTTGTTTTTTAAAATAAAAAACCTCCATTATAAAGCAATTTATCTTTCATGGCTGCATAAAAATATCTTTGTCTCAGAACATTCCAGACCCTTCTAATACATCTATGGTGACTGCAACTCATGCATGATTACATGCAGAGGTAATTTTCAGAATGCTCTCAACTTAAGAGATACTTGAAATAAAAAAAGGCCATCAATATCCACATATTCCTCTTCGATGGATAATCCTTGGGGAGTAACTGTGTCTTTACTGGACATGTATGAACATTTTTACTTATCATTATTCCCTAAACAACATAGAATATGCATAGCTTTTATGTTGTGTAAGATATGATGAATAATCTAGAGGTGATTAAAATTATATGGGAGGATGCATGTAGTTTATGTTTGAGTGTACAAAAGATTATGGTCTCCTTGGGAGTGGTAGTTCCTGGAATAATCCCTCATGTGTACTGAGGGAAGGCTGTGTCTATTTTAGATCACTTTTATTGACTCAAGTGGTGGTCAGATCCATTTTTTTTTAAATTTTATTAAAGGAGAAAAAGAAAAAAAAGCAGAAAAAGGGGGCAAGTTATATAGAATTTCAGAAAAGAATAAACAGTAGGAAATCACTAGTTAATGGATTACATATTGTCATCTTAGAAATATTTGTTCAAGTTACAAAATTAAAGCATATAAAGTAGACATTCAAACACTGAGACTGCAAACAGTTCTGTTCAATGATCCAACAAAACTCAGTAATATCATTGTTTATCTTATACACTTAAATATACATACAGTTATATCATTTAGAGCACTTTCTTTTCCTCTCTTTTGTACAATGACAATTACACATTTTGGGTTTTATTACTCCCACAGTTCATATTAATTTTTTTGGAAGAGAGTAAAATCAAATGCGACATAACAGAACAGAGTCGGTCAAATCAAAAGGGTGGACATAATAGATAATGTAAAAACATAATACAAGGTGGTCAACAATGGTTACCATAATGCCTCCCGCTATCTCAAATAGAATTGCCTATATCATCAGTTATAATAAAATTGAACAAAACAGTAAAGAACGAAACCAACAAAACCAAAACATTGGAGACATTACAGGTCTTTCATTTAAGTAAGAGCGGAAAACCGTGGTGCTATCTTCACAGCAAACTTAATTTGGATATGTTTGGAAAATATGATGAGAATTTCCTTAATTCCACGCTAGATTGCATTCTCCAGAGCACATATTTATAACAAAAGTGGATACAGAATCTTGCAGTCAACATTAACTGGGCATACTTTAATTCCTTTTAAATTAGCCTTAAAGAATATAATTTGCTATAAATACTGTCTTAAAATAGTGATATTTTCCGATAAGAATCACAGTGGTCATAGGATTCTCACAATTTAGAAACATCATAGTTTAATATGGATTTTTTTTTCCAATGAGCTCTTAACTTTTATTAGCTCCCCACCCCATGGACATTCTGCTCCTGCCTCATGTCTCAATAGTTTGTTGTTATTGTACTCAGACATCATTTTGTCCTCCACAGTGCTGTTCATGGTGATCTTTTAGATGCTTTGCATCAACTTGTTGCTTCCCAGAGTATCATCCAAATTGAAGTCCTCTCTGACTTCCAGCAGGCAGCAATGGGTGGTAATCTCAGCCCTCCACTTGACCTTGATGTTCAGCCACACCTCCATACTCTTGGGCCCGGTGCTGCCACTCTGCCCAGATCTGTGCCAGTTTTGACTCCAGGTGACTCCATCTTGCATATCATAGTGAGTCACCATGTCCCTCCAGCTGTTCTCCAAACTGGACTTTAGATTTCTCACTGAGTCCAAATCGATATCCAAGAACTGGGCCATGCATCTCCTCAGTCCCATGAATGTCATGTTGACAGCACTGATCTTGGAAGAGTGCAAGGGGACTACAGTGGTGCTTTCTTCTGTCTTCTGGGATGAGTACTTCTTCAGATCCTCTTGGTTCTTTGGAGCCATCTTTTACATTGGGTCCAGTGTCCACCAGGATCTTGCTGAAGTCCTCAGATCTGGCTGCGTTTAACTCCTCCGTTAACTTCAAACTGGCTATCTGCTTTGAACTTCTCTCTTGTGGTCTTCTTCTTGAATGGACACTCACCCTTGAGGCCCTCAATGTCCTCCTCTAGCTGTAGCACAGGGATGATGGTTTCATCAGTGACACTGTGGAGCTTACGATCTTTTTCTCCACAGGCATGGTCAGTACCATCTCATTTCTTGACTTTAAAGCCATTAACAGCAAGTTCAGCACTTTCAGTTGGTTCAATGATACACACATTATCTATACAATTTGTGCAGATCTGAGCCCCCGGCCCCTTAATGGTCTTGAAATAATGTCTCTAGTCTCTGACTTAGGCCCCTTCTCCTTCTTCTTCTTCTTCTTCTTCATCACATATTCCTGAAGTTTTCTCTACAAGTATCAGTCTCCAGGTTCCTAATTGAGTATACATAGGAGCCCAGGTGATCATTCGGGTCTCACATGGTCTTTTCTCTCTCTCTCTCTCTCTCTCTCTTTTTTTTTTTTTTTTTTTTTGGTCTTTTTCGTTTTTATCGGTACCAGAGATCGAACTCATGACTGCCTGCTTGCAAGGCAGGCGCTTATGCCGCTGAGCTAAATCCCCAGCCCCGGTCTCACATGGTCTTATTCTGGTTTTGGATACACCAATTCCCAACAGACCCCTTGCCCTCTGCACTGTCATGTCACTGGTTCCCCGGCCATGCTGCAAGCTGGTGGAGCAGGACACAAAGGATCCTGGAGCCCAAGACTCTGGTGCAGGCCAAGTGACTGGGAGCGCTGATTGAGCTCAGTGGCTGGTGTAGATGTAGAAGGCAGTGGGGCGGGGGATGAAGCTCATGATGCCCTTGGAGGAAAGTGAACAATCAGGACACAGGTTCATGATGCCTTATATAGACCTTTAAAAGATCCACATGCACATAACATTTGGGAATATTCCTTTAACTCTGGTTTGAAGATGTCTATTATTCCAAGTATTTGATACTTGATTTCTTCAGAGTATAATTATTTTACAATCATATTTAGAACAAAAATCTCATTAAACATTATCCAGTTAAGAATTCTCAAAGTAAATCAAATGAAACAAAACTGACTAGATTTTTTTTTAAAAAGCTTCTTGGTACTTGAAGGACATCTTGTGGCCAATTTCATTAAAGCTTTGAAATACAATGAATGGCTACAATGTGTTAGTAATTTACTATATTCAGCGAGTATACAGATAAATAAAACATAAGCTGTGCTTTGAATACTCTATCAGAATGGGAAGCTGGGAAGCTATTTAAAATAGCCAGAGCCCCTTTTATTTATAAACAAGTAATGCAAGTGTCTTATAAAAATATTAAAAGTATATATTTAAAAACTAAGGACATAAAATTTCAATGCTGTTTAATTTGCATTTCTTGAATGACCAGTGATGGTGAACATTTCTTCATGTATTTATTTGCCATTTGTAAATCTTCATCTGATTTTGTAACTTGATCTACTTCTAAGACAACAATATGTAATTTATCAACTAGTGATATTTTGCTGTCATTTTTTTTGAAATTCTGTATTATTTCTACCCTTTTTCTGCTTTGCTTTTTTTCTCTAAATAAAAAAGTATATACAAACAAAGCAGAGGACATAGTTCAGTGGCAAGCACAGGCTCAGCATGCAGGAAATTCTAATTGATTCTCAGCACAACTAAAAGAAGAAAAAGTAAAGATATAAATGAACATCTGTGGGATTTGCCTATTCTTTATACTTCCTACACTCCTTCGTACACTACAGTTTTTCTTCAGAGACCACCACACCATAACTCTTCACTAATCTATTAGGATTAGGATTGCTTTTTGGTTCCAAACTTTGCTGAGTTTTATATTCTATCATGAGGACAAGATCCGAACTAAGTCAAAGTCCTTCCCTTTTAGAACTTAAGTCTTTCCAAATTACAAGAGGATAGACAATAGTTTTCTGCTGGCTGCTTACCAGCCCGAAGCTGCTGGCATCCAGCTGTCATGATGCAGGAACAGCCAAACTAACAACAAACATGCCTGCAGGAAACCAAGGCCAGGAAATGAAGAGCATTTGAGATTTGAATATAAAATTTCAGCACTGGAACCAGTCATACTGCCACATAAGGTGGGTTCTGAAAAAAAAAAAAAAGTAATGGAAAACTATTTTAAAAATATTTATTATGTAAATACATACACACATACATGTACACAAACATATTAACATTTACAGAAATACATAATAAAGTATATTCAAATATAGTTCTAGGATATAATTTTTCTGATAAAAAATACGGTGTCAAATCTTCCACATGAATAAATGAGTTATTTGTAAGGGTCACAGTTTTCCAGTGTTCTAGAGGCATCAAAATTGACACATCACTGTCATTTATGGGACACTTTGGACATTTAACCTGTTGGCAAATAGTAGCTACCATAATCTTACAATTTTCATGCTGTCCTCAAAACCTGCCCTATTATTTTCTTAAAACTGAGATTTTTTATGTTGAGTTTTAGTTATCAAATTATGAGATTAAATAAAAATATTCATATTAATTTTTTGCCTATGGAAAATATAGGTGCCAGGGCCTACTAATGTTCAAGTTTCAGATAACAAGAACTCTGGAATTAAAACAACCACTGTGGGAAAACAAATACTCAGATTCATGAATGTCTGGCCTGTGGTACCAGGGTTGGCCACTGGAGACTTGGTTGAATGCGACAATTTGTTTATATTCCTTCTTGTCTATATACTCACAGATAAACAATGAAAAGACCCTCAACATTATTGTTGACTGGAGAAATAAAAATTTAACCATAATGAGACGTCTGTCACTATTATAAGATAGCCTACTAACAGTTAAAATTGAGTAGACTTAACCTATCAAGTGTTAGTGAGAACCTAGAAGAACCCTCGTAATTGGTTGAGGAAAGTGTAAAGTGGTGCAACATGCTCAGAGGATTAACTGTTTCCTCAAAGTGAAAATACTCCCATTAGATGCCTAGAAATTAACCCAATAAATAAAAAACATTATAGCACAAAGACTTACACATGAATGTTTATTACAGGTTCTTTTTCATGGTAGCCCCAACTGAAAACAATTCAGATGTCTTTATATATTAGCTTATAATACATTCATATACTTAATAATATGACTCAGTACTAAAAAGAACAAACAATTGATTCACATACATCAGGGGAAAATTTCAAGACCATTACTCTAGAGAAATATCTCATCATAAAACAAGTCACATTCTATGATTTCCCTTACACAAAATCTGTAAAATGAAAATCAATCTGTAATAACAAAAAGCAGATCTGTGGGTATCTGAGACTGGAGAGACCTAGACTAAAATGTTTCATACCTTTTGTATCTTGACTGTGGTTGAATTTTTATAGGTGTATGTATTGGTCAAAAGTCATTGAGCTATCATATAACAAGCAAAAATCACATATGGCTTAAAAGTCATTTTAGGACTATATAAAATTTGAAAGTAAACGCATGGAAAGACATATTCTAAGAAAACATCAGCCTGAAGAAAACAAATCTCAGTGCCAACTTTAGAGTAGGAAGCACTATTAAGATAAAAAGAAATATTTCCTATTGATAGGAGAGTCAATATTTCAGGAAAGCAAAATTGCAAATGCATATGTACCTAATACCATAATCTTAAAATATTTAAATCAGATATAACTTAAAATTGAAATATTTAAATTTGTCATCATTATTGAGGATTTTTATCATATTTACCTCAGTAACTGATGCAGCAAGCAGGTAAAAAGTGAGTAGAGCTATAAACTTTAGAACAATGTGATGAAACAATGTGATCTGACAGTGATGGGACACTACACCAGAAAAAGAAAGTATTTCCAAGTATACACTAAATAGTTAACAAATTGATCATTTAGTGCACAATAGGATAGGTTCTGTGTATTTCAATAAGTTAAAATTTTAGACAGTATGTTCTCTGAATACAATAAATGAAATTAGAGTTATATTATGATAAAGATCATTGTAAAATCTCTAAATATTTAAAACTAGATAATATATTCTTTGGCCATAGAGCAAAGAAGTAACACTAGAATTTAAAAACTAACCAAAACACTTAAATATATTTATATTTGAATTCATTAAATTACGATGAAATAATTAGTATAATGGAAATACATCATTAACACGCTTGGCCCAGGTAACATGCCACTTAAAGAACTTAAAATACATATGTTATTAAAGAAGAAAGACTGAAAATCAATCATTTCCAGATTTTAGTCTTAAAATACTGAAACAAAACAAGATCAAACCAAATAATGTAGACTGGAAAGTTATTAAGGAAAAGAGCAAAACTTAGGGTTATCAAAGATACACCATTAACAAATCAAAATTTAACAAATCAAAAACTTGACTCTTTGGAAAGACTAACAAAACTGAAAAATTCCTGGAAAAATAGTTTTAAAATGAAATAAAAGTTATTAACATTATGAATGGAAAAAGGTATCAGTAAAGTTCTAAGTATATTAAGAAGTAAGAGTGGAGGTCTCATAAAAGATATACTGACAGATTGTAACCAAAGTGTGAACTTGGACATTTTTTAAAAAACAGGACATTTATAAAAAACTGGAAATTTGAGCAGGAAGTATTGGATAATTAAAGTATTGTTGCTCTATTTTAAGTGTGATAGTGATGATGCACTCAAGTGAAAAAAGCAATGTAGCTTTTGAAACACATACCAAAATAATGTTGCACGAAATTTTATGATTTCTGGGATTTATTTCTATATCAAAAGTGAGTAGAGGAAGTGGCAGAATTTCTCTTATGTTGCTGCATCCTCTTTTGGGGGTGGGTAACTGGTGTATGGTATTCACTAAAACACAACACTACATTTGGGATGCTCAAGATCCTCCATAGTATGAAGCTTTTAAAAGAGTGTCTAAACAATTTTGTGCTTAGAAATTTAAATATTCAGACAAAACAGGAAATTCCTATAAAAATACTGTTAATAAAGCCCACCAAAAGAAACTGAAAATATATTTTATTATACATGTTAAACAATACAATGTCTCTGGTTTGAAAAAATATAAACACTTATAATGCACACATCTTCACTGGAAAATTCTCCAAGCATTTACAGTTAAAAGATAAAGACATGAACAAAGCAGAAAAACATAGTCCATAAAAAGGAAAAAATACCTGTTTAAAAGAAAAAGTAACAAGTACATTCTAAGAAAAACAAGACTTTGGAATTACCATTTAAAAACTTTTAAGATGGTTATTATAAATATGGTCAAGAACATTAAGAAAATTAAAGAACAGATGGCAATTCTCAGCCAAGATAAACTATGAAGAGAACCAAATGAAAACTCTAGAACTAAAAACCACAACATCTGAAGTAAAAAAAAAAGATCTCAGAATGAGCTCAATGGTCAACTACATACATTGGAGGAAAAATGTTTTTTAGGACAATGTTTTTTAAGACAGATGAGTAGAAATTATCCATTCTGTGGGACAGAGGGGGTAGGGGGGAAAGATGAGGTACAGGAATAAGAGAGATCGACAGCAAAAAGCATTAAAGAAATAATGACTAAAACTTCCCCAAGATGATGAAAATCAATTTGCAGAACCAAAAAGTACAGAAAATCCCAAAGAGGAAAAAAATATACAAAATGACAACAAGCCTAAAAAGTACTCAGGAAAAAACATATAAAGGGAAACAAGTATCCCAATGACTGCTGACATGGAGAGACAATGGAGACACTCATACAATGAATGGTCCTTAGCCAGAAAAACCTGTCTGAAACTGAGCCTTCAAATACAAGGCTGAAATAAAGGCATTTTCAAATAAAAATCTGAAAGAATGTAAGGGCAGTTGTCTTAGTTACTTTTCCCTCATTGCTGAGACAAAATACCCAATGCCCAAAATTAAGGAAAGAAAGGTTTACTTAGCTCACAGTTTGTGGAGGTTTCAGTCCATAACCAGCTGCCTTCAAGGCAGGGTGGCATGGAAGAGGGACAACAATTCATGGTGGTGGAAGAGGGCAAAAGCAACAAGAGCAAAAAGACTCTTTTCCTCCCCTATATTATAAGTAGGCTACCTGCCCTCAGGTTTGTGTAGCACCCACCCACACCATCAGCACAGGCTCAGGATGAGTACAAAGCAAAGACACCAGCCCCTGAATCACTTGCTGAATCACTTAAACTTCTAAACTTCTCAAGTTGACTCAATATATCAACCATTACAATCCACCCCTTGTCAACTCGGCAACCAGACACATTTCTTTAAATCATCTTCCAGATACAAAGATACGTTTATTCTTATCATTTCACAACTTCAACATTATAACACAGGTTCAACAATCCTTAAGAACCAATGTTAAGTCTATCAACATTATATTACATTAGAACCATCATATTCCATCCTCGGCCCCTCAAAAGACTCAGACACTTCCTCTTATGCAAAAGGCATTTAGTCCATCTGCACAACTTGCTAAAGTCCTAACAGTTTAATCATTGCTGAAAAGTCCAATTCTCAAATCTCCTCTGAAATGAAAGGCAAACTCTTAGTTGCAAACCCTTGTATAAATGAAAAGTTAAACACTTCCAATATTCAGTGACACAAGATAAACATTTCTATTCTAAAAGTTACAAACAGAGAAATACAAAGAACTGAGAATAAAGCAAGTCAAATATTCAGTGGGACAAACATCAAGTTCTGTAGTTCCATTTGCAGCATCTAAGGCAATCTGTGATGAACTATGAGATCCAAAGGATTGTGTGCTCTGCCCTACAGCATTCCTAGTGGTTATAGGTCCCATGGCTTCTTTCTTGGGCCCACTCTACTCCCTCGTTACATGTTTTTTCAGCTGATTCATGTCCCTGGCTTCTACAAAACTCAGGGGTCTCCCCTATACCTCTGGCTTCACCTGCACAGCTGCAAACACTGTCCTCTAAGGACAAACTGCTTGGCCTCCT